TACTATCCAACTCCCCTCATCATGATACTCATTGCAGAATAACTGAGACTTTGATCTCCAGACAAGCCTAGAAGCATCCTAGTGAATGCAGCTGTATTTAAAATGCTGATACACACTGAAACAACAGAACACTACATATCTTAGAGAAAAGGAGGTTTTTAGAATGGCTGCATACATTAAGGGGTAGAGTTGATTTTCTCCCAGATTGTGGCACATTGCAGAAAGCCAACACTTAACATTGGTTGATTTCTACCAGCAATACCTTTCCTTCAGTAAATGCTTGAATTTTTTAACAAGTGGAATCACTATTTGCATCACAATTACTATTTGTAGTAAAATGTGTCTATGACAGATGAATATGAAGTGAGATTAAGTCAACAAGAAAAAGTCAGGGATCTGGAGACAGCTCAGTTCCAGAATATCAAATAATCCGGAATAACAAAAATCTCTTGTAGGTTTTTTTAAGGCAATTATGAAATGGCAGGTAAGTGATTTCTTTAAAGTGCTGAAAAAGGATAACTGAACACCCAAACCTATTTACAGACTCGACAATGTTCCTGCTTGAAGCAATGTGGGTGCAGCTCCATAAGCCTCCTAAGACGACTGATTATCCCTCCAGGAGCTCAGGCAACAGAGGGTTGCCCTCGAGGTTTATGATAGAGCTGGAATACAGAAAGGCCTGAGTACTTTATGGGAACAAAACAGGAGGCTCTTTAAAAAGCTTAGAAAAAACTCATTAAAATTCAGAGATGCGTTGCTGATGAATAACCATCAGTGTTAAATGCTTCTCGCTGTCCATTACCTCCTTGATAAATATACTTGTAAAAGAACCACTGAATTCAGGGACAGACGCTTCCTGCAGTCATTTTCCTGATATAACAGAAGATTTTTAACAATCAGATGCACAACTTAGCTACTTTAAAAGCAGAGAGATGCTGCTTAGAACGTACCAGAGATGAAAGACAATTATTTCTAAGGGAGTGTTTTTGCTTTTAAATATGCCTGAAAAATGTCTAGTAACACTCACAAAACACGTATAGCTCCAGCTTGCTGAAACACCATGCTCTCCTGGGTACCTTTGTGGTCTCAGAAACAGAGCACATACTTTCATGCTTCTTACTAGATTTTCCACTCAACTGTAGGGCCTGTTTATGTTCCATAAATGCACAGGTGCACACAGTTAGACATGAAGTCAGGTCCTACAGAAGCAAGGAATCATTTCGCCTGCTATTTGCATAGGCTACGGGCAGGCATAGTGCAAATAACTCTTTGCAGCTGTACCAACACACTCCAGTCTGCTTCAAGACACCTCTTCAGAAAGAGCTGGAAGACACAGCCTATCACCAGTTTTACTAACAGTTTGCTGCAGATTTTCAGAGATTGGAGTGGTAGCACAAAACAGATCAGAGGAAACCTACCCAATGAAAGGCATGACGGAGCTCAGACACAGCAAGGAATAAATATTAACCAGCATAAGGTGGTGCTAAGACCAAGGAAGACCTGACAGCATTTCTGACTGTGCCCATCACTTGCAGTAGGCCTCTGCCCCTCCTCACAACCAGGTTCCTCACCCATGTCTGCCAATTTTGGTTCAGAGAAGCATAGCCCTGTACGTGAGCAGCCTGCAGAGCCATCTTGCAGGACACTTCTGCAAAGGCAGCTCCTCCTCAGGAAGCACATTGCCCCCCAGGGCCAAGGTTTTCTGCTTCTCTTCCAACGCCATGCCAGGCCACAGACCCAGCCACCTCCCTGCCTAGCACAGAGACAACATTTAGGCTTGCTACAGTGACCACACATCCTTCAGGAAGTTCCCAAATGGGAATATTCTTGCCTCAATTTCTGATCTGGACTTTCCCAGGCAATAAAAAGCAAAGAGCACAAGCCAGAAGCTCTCCTGCTATGGCCGCTACCTGCCAAGAGGTGGGCAGCTGCAGGCTGTTCCATTTCTGGTTTCCAGCCTGCTCACAGTGCTCCTCCAAAAAGCTGATGCGTAGTGCTGTGCCTACAGCATTCTAAATGCACTGGGGGAAAGAACAACACCCAAATCAACCCCAACAACGAGATATGGCTCTCTGTTGCCTAGGATGCAGCCCCAAGTACCCAGCCTCACCAAATGCCTAGATATATGGAAGCATGGCCAAAACAGATTAGCTTTTTTCACTAGTGCAAAATCATAAGCACCCAGCTAACATCGCACACAAAGCTGGCAAAGGATTTCCCTCATGCCTGAAAAAGCTTGCTCAGGCCAGCTTCACCTCTTCTTGAGAACCAGTCTAATGGTAAGCACCCCTCTTTTAGGATATTTTCAGGCATGCAGAAATCTACCCAAGTTTCTGAGTTAATCCTTTCCGAGGGCCTTACAGTTACTCGAAGCATCATGACATGAGCATCCAACAGAAAACTACTGATACACCAAGGGTTTAACTCTTGGCCTCCCATGTTATAGATATGCTTTGGGAGCACTAGACTAGCCGCAGTTGCTAGAAATTAATTAGAAGTTTAATGGCATTCCTGAAATTACAACCAAATTTTATTCACTTAGACTGATCACTGTCTAATTTTGAGAATAGTTACATCTGCTGACAGGATGATTACAGCTTTATTCACTGGTTTTAGACTCAAATTTAAAATAAAATACACTGAGATTGTATCACATGATAAATTGCAGTCATCTCTGAAGTCTATTTCTTCCAGATTTAATTCTAATGCTGTGAAGCTCTCAGCCTCACACAGCTCATAGAGTAGTACTACGCTTACTTTCCTATAGCAAAAGCACGACAAAGGGAGACACACTGCTCGTTGTGAGGCCTGGAGGGTCCCAAGGTCACAGTTGGGCAACTGGTTCATTTGAAAAAATCTACTGAAAGCTCACAAAAATTCACTTCCAAATTTTCACTTTGAGCTAGGAAGGTCTAACACAGCAATAATTTTAGTCACAGGTCAGAATATTCTTTAGTACCATTATTTTTTTGCTGCAACTCTGTGCAATCCCATACTTATGGCAATACAACAGTTTTATATGCAAAAAGAATCAGCCAGCCAGGTAATTAAGTGGTTCCAAATTTTCCTGTCTTATTTCTAAAACAGCCTTTCTAAAGAGTACAGCATATAGAAATAAATGCATTTTATGAAGTCATTTCGATCACTGCTACTTCAGAACGACCTGCTTAATCCAAGCGTGTTCTCATTCATACAGAAGGCAACACCCATAAACGTGCAGTGGCAGCACACTGCTAACACATGACCTTGCGTTTAAAACTAAAAATGCCAGTGCATACCTTACACAAGTAATTGACACGAGTTCTTGTAGTACGGCTGTACACATGCTGCAAGCGAGACCCTTTTTTATCTGCTCTCTAAAACTCCTAGTGCATTTACTTTCCCTTTGCTTTTCCAATTGAGTTTTGTGTTTGTTTTCCTAAGCTCTACAGTATTTAGACTCGTTTAAATGTTGGCTCTGAGACCGTCAGAAGAGACATAATGACTGTTAGAGACTTTGTGCCCTCTGGTGTTCAGTGCAGGATAGTGGCTCCCTGGAAATGCTGCCCTGCACTGCTTAATCGTAGCAAGTTTTCCTTTTAGAACTACCTACACACATGTAAAATGCAAGATTTTAGCTTTGGGTACAATTTCAGTATGATCCACACCAAATGAGCAGTTTGCAAAACTGAGAACTGTGGTTTTTGACATACCTTTATATTTTCATATTAGTTCAAATAATCAAAAAAAGTTACCATTTATAACTTCAGGAAGTTAAAATATTTAATCAATGGAATTCTCTGAATCCCAAAATTCAAGATAATTTGTATATCCCATTCTAAAATACATCAGCCTGGTTTTCAGATGGCTGGTCCACATTTCATTTTACCATGCCTGTAGTAAGTTATCCCAAATACAAACTAAAATCAAGTTTGTGGGGATAACATTAACACTGTTATGCCCATAAGCACTAAATTTTTACTAGAAACAATTAAATTAGAAATTTCAGCAGGCAAATTCTAAATGGAAAGTTGAGTTTATTCTCCTTCTGAAATCAATCCAACCCTTCTGTGATTCACTCTGAAGATGTTCTGATGTGGTACTGTTCTCTGTGGTGAGATTTAAGGTAGTTTGCTAGGATTTCAGCGATCTGTTCAACCTGCAGATTCTAGTGCTCAACCACCTAAGCAATGCCTGCTGTGCTCCCATTTCTCAGGAGCTCTAGCACTGGGAAGACTGCTCATCTCTGCAACTAACTGAGTAGGGATACCAGACAAATCTACCCCTTATGTTTTGGGACAGTCACGACCGGTAAGTGGGGGTTTTCAAAGAAGCCCAGAAGTATTTGCATTTCTGACCTCTCAGACAGACATTTCAGCACAGGCTGCACCACTGAGCCCACTACAACAGCCCTTCTACACTGCACTGCCTAAAGGTGGGCAATGAAGCCAGTTAAAACTTATGTTCCAACCCAAATAAGCAAAGAACTTCTTATTTATCCTTTGAGTGAACCATTTTCCCTGATTCCCACAGTCTTGCCAATTGTGCTGACATTGCTATTTCTTCTTAAGGTATTAGCAAAGAAGACTGAGCTGAAGATCCAATTCACAAGCATGATTCTCTCAACAAATGAGCATTCATCCAAAACAGAGTAAGTTACCAGTACTACCCTAAAACGAAAAAAAGCTCACAGAAACACACACACACAAAAGTGGCAGAGTGGGGAGAATGGAGGTAAGAGTTAACAAAGAATCTGGATTCAATAAACTTTGAGCAGAAATGTAGGAGCCTAACAGCCTGAATCTGAGCCTAACAACCCTTTACTGCAATTATATTCCCTTGGATGTTGAGGACTATGTCATTGGATGAGTGCATTCAGACAGAGCACTGCAGTAATAATTCATGAAGTGTTTACATTTCAACAAAGCCTTCTCTTCTGTGTTCTTCTAACCATAGCAGCACGTTACGACGTTTTTATAAACACAGCAGATTTGTTTTTAATTAAGGAATTTCACAGCAGCGGACTCTGATCACTTAATTTCTCAAATCCAAAAAACATCGCTATTACAGCATGCTACAGATTATTCTCCCTGTTTTGTACTCCACATGAGTTTTATTGCCCCAAAACATTGCACTGCCAGCAGGTAGCATGTGAAGAGAGTGGTGGGACAGGCCCTGCTTCAGCACAGCAGTACCCAGGAATCAAGAGAACACACACACAGATGTTGCTTTCAGGACTGACCACAATCAGCTTCCGAGACTGAGAAATTCTGTCTCTTAAGCAAAGCACAGCTGTAATCAGTAGGCTGCCAAGAAAAGTGGAAAGTCTTCACTTTTGTGCTGTGGGATTCATTTTCGTGCCTGTCAGTCATATGGCACTTTTCACAATTCCATCACTGCAGCTAACAAGTGCAATAATCTGTGGCCCAGACTTCTTGATAAGCAGGAACGACTGAAACTGAAAGGCTGAGACACAAGAAAGGAGGAAAAGAGATCATGTTTTCGCCAATTTGACCAGTATGCAATTTACACTTCAAAGGAAAACTGGGGAAAGTTCATCTGGTAAAACTGTTGGCAGCAAGGCCTGTTTGCATCTGAGAAGCCAGCAGAAGGATTGTACGGCAACAAGACTTCTGTTTCCCGCATGAATTTCAAATCACAGCATTATGTTTAACCTCAAAATATCTGAAAGGAAATGAAGAACAAGCATCAATCACTGACTAGTCATTATTTCTTGGATGGTCTGTGGGGAAAAAAAACAGGGTTCTGGTCAGATCAGGGTTTCGGAGCTGTAATGACTACTGTGGGACTCTGCTAAGCAGCCTTGGCTTTTCCTCTGCAGCTGGATGTGTCCTGCATTGTAAAGCCAGCCTACATGCAAGGTGGGAGCCTTGCCCTTTCAGTGAACTTTGCAGTGTCTCACATCAAAGGGGGCACGTGTTCTCTCAGGGATCGCAAAGTGCAACAGAAACATCACATCTCCAGGAGCATTTTTAGCAGGAATATTCTCCAAGCATTTCACAGGCAGAGCTGTTTATAGCTGCCTTTCAACAGAATGGCTTGCAAGTATCCTCAGTTTCCTATTAAGCTTATGGGCAGTTTGCAGCAACAAAAACAAGAGGGGAGTAGAGCAAAGCTCTTGAATCAGTTTCATTAATAGCAATCTGAAATGGCCCTCTGTGGCTTTACACCACATTGGCAGAGAAGAAACATGGCAGTATAGGTGGGATACAGCTCCTGCACAGCACCCTACAACCAAACTTAAACTACACCTATATTACATCCCATGTGCATTACACACTCCCCAAATACTGCGAAGGCAGATCTGAGGTACAAAGCAAGCTATGCAAAACACAGACTTTTAACTATTTTTCAGCACATTTGCAGTACTGTTTGCTGTGACACACAACCTTTTGCTGCTGCCTTCCCCTGCAAGTTCACACAGATATTTGCACGTTTGTTTCCAGGGGCAATTAGTAATCTCTCCAAAAACCAGGTTGCTTCCAAAGTCAACCATGCCACCAAATCAGTGGGATGGGTATTCATCTCAGCTCTTCCGTTTGTCATCCACAAGCATCTTGATCTCGAGTCTTGCATTGCTACAAATAGGCTTGTTCATCCAGGAGTATGAAGTCTTTCTGGGAACTTTAAAACCAAATCACGGAAGAGATGTGACAGGAAACTTCTCTGGACCAGTCACTTCACTGGGAACAGCAAATATGGAACAAATTAACCCTGTGAGCGACACACAGGCTGAAAGTAATTTACAGAAAGAGACAGTACACTATCTCTGTAACAACTTCTGTCATTCTCTCTCAATTTTTTGCTTAAAGGCTTTAACATCAGATTTGGCGAGACACTTATTTAAGCTTACCCTCATCTGTTAATAACACACATGGTTTACTTGACACTGAACATCAAGTCTTTGTGTCAGTGACTTAATGTGTGTCCTACATAAATTCAACCCTAGCTCTGTGTGGGCATGTACACAGTCCCATGATGACCAGCTCTTTGCTTTGCTTTCCGTGACTCAGAGGTAATTTAATCCTAGTCCCTGAGAACATTCCCAGCTCTGAAAACTGCTTCTGACACAGGATGAGCACTGTAAGAAACAGAAAACAGAACTATACCCCAGGAGCACACAAATATTTGTGTCACTGCTCAAAATAAGTCTGTAATGCATATTATAGTATAGAATTTAATATAACAAGCTGTAATAAGATATTTCACATACAATACAAACTAAATGTCTTGTAAATATCAGAGTAACTAGAATTGATTTAACTGGATAATGTTGCTAGACTATATCTATTGCTAAAACCAAAGATTTTTGTTAATGTGTCATACAGTACTGATGATATTTCCTCAAGCTTTGTTTACATGTATTTATCAGAGAGGAAAAAAATCATACATTAGTTTCTTTTTTCATTACTTAAAATGATCAAAGTAGCATAACAGATTTGCCCACAGTCATAAAAAATCTTACCAACTGCAAATATAAAATTGTCTAACATGGAAATCACATATATGCATTGCTGCTGCATCACCTGACTGCCAAAGCCCATGAGATTTTCCATATCCACAGTCATTCTGCCTGTGTTTGGACAGAAGTTGTTTCTGTAACACTTCAAACTAAATCTGTTCTAGGAAGATTCTGGAAGAGGCAGCATATAGTATAGTTTCATAATCACATGCTTACTACAAAAAGATATGAAAATTAAGAAACTTAAGAGAACAAGACAGTCAGTTATTAACTGCATTAGAACACAAAGAAGCTGTAGAATGGACTCTGAACTGAGGCATAAAATTGTTCACAATCTCTTCTCCACTCTTATATGAGAAGTTTAGAAAACGGATCCCACAGAACTCCATCTGCAAAATGTCACAGCCAAGAAACCTGCAAGCTAGGCTGCTTTTTGTCTCACAGAGAAGCATAAAATGGATAATATCCACAGAGTCCATGCCATTGAAGACAAACACAGATAAGCTGTACTACTTCAGTGACTACATCATGTTTGCCAATAAACAGCAGTTGTCTATGCAGCCTATCCTTTTCTTATACCTAAACACAAAAGTTGTTCCACGAACTAAGGAAGATTAATTTTCTGCCAGTTTGTCTCTTTCACCCTCTAAGCCTTTCTCATTCCCATAACAACACTAATCCCTCTGCCTCATGTGTAAGAGTTTATAAGTGTGTGGCAACTCTGGAGTTAAATGAACATTGACTGATCAGCCTGAATACCAGAGGGCCGGAGATATGCATGCTCTCAAACACAGTACAGCCTGGTTGAAGTTTGCCCAGTTTTTCCTCAGCCAGGGCACAAATTTGGTTCTCTACTCCCCCAGCATTGCAATGGAAACTCAACTAATTCTATTTAAAACTTCTATCCCTCTATTAACTTTGGTTAAATTTAGCCTGAGAGCCCACAGTTCAAGGGAAGTAGAGAAAAGGGAAGAGGAAAGGGCAAGGGGAGGAGACAGTGCAGTTACTTAGTTGGATAAGAGATTAAAAAATTAAGCTTAACTACAACTGAATTCTTCACCTGGCATGAGTCACCATTACTTAGAAAAGCTCACAAGTCTCTCCCTCAGATAAGTGCCACCAGATAACTCCAGTGGGACCACATCTGGAGTACTGTGTCCAGGTCTGTGCTCTTCAGTTCAAGAAAGACAGAGATCATTTAGAGAGACCCCAGTGAGGGACCACAAAGATGATGAGCCTATGAGGAAAGGCCAAGAGACCTGAAACTATTTAGTAAGGAGGAAAGAAGACTGAGGGGGATCTGATCAATGCTTGTAATGCTCGTATCTAATGGGTGAGAGTTAAGAGGATGGGGCCTTTCCAACTGTGCTCAGCAACAGAACAAGGACCAACTGGAACTCAAGAAATTCCATCTGAAAATGAGAAAGAACTTTGTTAAGGTTGAGAGAGCACTGGAACAAGCTGCCCAGGCAGATAATGAAGTCTCATTCTCTGGAGACATTCAAAACCACTGGGATGTTTTACTGTGCAATCTACTGTAGGGAATCTGTTTTAGCAGGGGGGTTGGATTAAATGGTCTCCAGAGGCCCCTTTCAGCCCCCACAGTTCCATAATTCTGTGGCTACCAATACCAATCATCTAACAGCCAAACTACATGCTCCGCAGATAGGACTTGCAAACAAGGCCACAGCTCTTAATTCTGACAGCCAGCAGTAAAGCCAAACAAAGTTCATGTTCTTTTGTGGAAGAGAAGAATGAAGGACTCATGCTGGCAAGCTGTGTTTGTTGGCACTGTGCCCACAAGAAGGAAGGGAAAAGAGAAGTGAAGAACATCAGGAGACACACAGAAGTACCACAGTGGGTTTAGGCAGCCGGCTCCGTTCTCCTGCCTGCGTTACAAAACGTATGACGCACAAACTAGGTTGGAAACTAATGAGGCTCAGCAAAACCATAACAAAGAGATGCAGTTTAGCCTATCAATACACAATAAGCAAGCAAAAGCATGCTGAAGAGTTAGATACAGTAGCGAGCATGACTAATAAATTAAAATTCTTAGGAATGGAAGGAAATGAAAATGTAAAGAAAAATAAGAGTCTTGTAATAGCTTTCCTCACAGGTTTAACTTTAGTCTTCCCCTACAGATACAGAACTAAATAATAATAATAATAATAATTGAACCTATCAGGCCAATTGTCCTGCTTGGTTTGTTACATAGAGCTCCAGCTGCTTATATCTGTACGGACAATATTCCAGAGAAGTCTTAAAATCATGCCAGTAAGAGGGGTATTGCATTCCTTAGCTCTCTCCCCTTTACTCTCTGCCACTTTACACTTCTCCATTTCTCCATCCTCATCTCCTCCTCCCCCCCCCTTCCCCCCCCCAAGGTGTACACAGATCCAAGACTCATCCTCTCTCTGCTAAGTACCCTGATGTTTTATGCAGGCCATGCCAGGACACAGAGGTGGGACTGTGACCCCTCTGTGGAACATGGCTGCCCTTGGAATGCCCCCCAAGAATTTGCCATGCAATACCTCCAGCTAGCTGACAAAAGGGCAACCTAGAGGCCTAAACAATATAGGAACTAAAAAACAGAAGTCATTTAAGAACTAAGAAGCATTTTCCTAGATGACATGCCATGCCACACCTTAGCAGATTTCCAAGCTGATATTACTTAAAAAGCTGGAGGGCAAATCAGCACATGCACTAAATCTGCCAACAGCTGTAAAAAATATTAATGCCTTTGCCCTTTATCACAAGCAAAGGAGGACATGACATGAAGACCACAGGATTCCTGTGAAGCCTTACCTAATCCCATTATGTATCTTCAGCATGCTTCCTGTCCACAAAGCACTGAAGTAAACAAAATGAGTATTTAATTTCACCTCAGAAACAGTGTTTTTTTCCACTATTCATTTAAATGAGCTACAGAGTCTCTCCTTATTCCAAAGGGTGCTGAAGAAAAAAATGCAATAGCTGTCCTGTTCAGATATGAAATAACAGGCAACACAGGAGACCTCAAACTTGAAAACACTTGTGAAAAGTTCTATTAAAAAAAAAAAAAAAAAAAAAACAAACAACAACAAAAAGCCCTTCAAGTTGTATCTTCCTCCTCCCTTCAGCTTTTGAACTGCTCAAAGAAGAATAATTCATAAATATTTAGTAAACTATATCTCTACCACAGATGTACACACATTTTCCATATTCTAAAAATGCCTACATTTTTTTTTTCAATTTTTTCAATAAAATCTTTCCCTTAGGCATTGAATTAAATGAGAATGAAGCATGAAGAATATTTATGCAGCCATCGCTGCAGTGGTTGCTACACAATGCAAAGAAGGATGAACACTCTATAAAGAGGAAACAATAATACAGCACTTTGGTCCACTCATAATTCACTGTCCCAGTGCCAGAGAATCTGTTCTTTTGTTTTAAACACAGCATTGACTGGTACAGATGAGCACAATTCCATATTGCATTTATATTCTTATGATTTTAAATACTTTCTGATGTGACATGATTGGCAACTGATGCAGCATTGTCTGAACATAGCTGAAATGATAGATATTTAGACCTGTCTCACTCATCTCAAATCTTCCTCACCTACCTTACATGAAAAATAAGATTTTTCAATCTTCTGCATAGAAGACATCCTTCTGCATGGCAACCCCAGGTAATGCCCACAGCAAAACAGGCGGGTGACCCCATTCTACCCAAAGAAGATGGAAAGCCATAAGTAATTAGATAGCTGAAGAAGAAAAAGGCAGCCCATCACCTTGGGTTGAAATCTGAAGACTTGGAGCATCTCATTAGCAGGTCTCCAGCTTTTTGAGGACTGCTTGCTCTGCTACAGAGGGGGTGTTTATCCCACATCCTGTAGCACCTAGTCCCCTTTAGGCTCAGACAGCAGATGAATATAGAAGGGATTTCATTCAAATGGGAGAGCCACAACAAAAGTAAAGGTTTTCATTTGAACATCTTTGATTCTGGGATAACCTGCCATTTTGGAAGACTCATTTAAATGTTGTGCAAGGTCAGAAAAGCAATGAACCTTCCCAAAAAAACTGCAGTAGAAAAATAACCTCAAAATAAGCTGAGTTTTCCAGTATATCCAGCATATCCACTAGTTTGGCAGAAGCAAACCTTTTAATATTCCAAATTTACTTTTTCTTAGAAAAGTAATTTCATAATCTAATCTGAGGAGAGAATGTACCCTTGACCAATTCCCAAGTAATGCATGGGAGATGAGTCCAAGAAGCAAAAAACAATCAAACCATTAAATAAGTGACTACAACATAATTGGCATATTCCCCATGGAGAAATGCACAGCACTGTTAAGAAGCCTGGAAGGGATTCTGTGCAAACAGGATGGTTAAAAACAGCAGGAAGTATCAAAATGAACATTCTTAGGCTCCAATTTCAATGATGACACAAACACTACTCTTGACTGAAAAAGTGCATCAGCACCTTTCAGCCAGCCCACGGGTTCATAAAGGGTTCACACACACTCTCAACAATACTTTTCTAAAGAACTAAAGAGGGAAAATCCTGTGCTAAAATCACCATTACATAAGTCAGTGTACCTCATAAAGGAAATGGTAACTCAATAAAGCTAATATGTTTAGTTGTACATAACATTCACTGGATAGTGTACATTTAAATTACCCCACCAGCTGAATTAGAAGTGAGAGACAGGAAGGTGAAGTACCCCATCCATTCCTTTTTCCCAGACTAGAAAATAAAAATCAAAGAGAGAGGAGAAAGAGGATCATATAAGAAGTCTCCTACCAAACTCATAAAAAACAATGCTCTTCACAGCTAGCTTCACCTCCCTTCTTTGGGCATAAGGTAATATGTCAACTCATACTGATGACCCACTTAGATTTTGCTACCATTTCTACCTACATATTTTGAATTAAAGTCACTTATGAATAGCTAATTTAACACAGGTCCATGGACTGACTCAATTTTTGGAGACTGGCAAACCACAATGAAATAAAAAGATGGGATTGATGAAGACATGTATATCCATTCTTTGAAAGTGAGGCTTTGAATATGCTGTGAATGCTTGCACTTTTTTAGCTCGATAGTTTTCGAATCATATAAAAAGCTACTGCATAGTTACAAAATTGATGACTTTTTTCATGATTCCAAAACCACCAGCACAACAGCATCCTAGTCCCATATGGGGCCCTTGGAGGCAAACAGCATTGAAAAAATAACATCAACTCTGACAATCACAGATATTTTATAAGACTCGAGTTCTTTCCACTTGTTCTGCCATTTAAAGCTATTGATGTTGTTACATGCAACATATCTATATTTATATACTGTTGCTAATGTGAGGCTACAAATTAAAAAGCTTAAAAAGAAGATGTTTCCATGGATTTAGAAGACCCTGCTATTAACAGGCATGAAATAAAACTCATATTCCACTGTAACTTCAAATCAGATCTGTATGTACACTTCTAGAAATAGATACAAAAATCATGTCCCTTGTGGCAGAAGACAGCTCATAAAACTCTTTGCATCTATTAAACACGTTCTCAAAAAAGAACATATTACAAAGCTCTTTTCAGTACTGCTCAGGAGCAACCTGCTAGGCAAAAGAGGAATGTACTTGCACCCAAGGAGAAGTCAACACTTTTCTTATAGCTGTTGGTGCCCTTTAGGTAAGTTACACATAAATTTTCCATCCGTAATATACACATTCATACTTCTCAAAAGAGCAGAACCCACTGGGAATCAGGCTTCTATTCCAGGTATCTGTACCTTCAAAAGACATGAAAGGTAATGAGACATTAATTGCTGCTCTCTCCAGGACAGGATGCAGAATTTACCTGTCTCTTTAGCTAAAGACCTCACGGCCACAGAATAAAGATGGACAATGTATCACCACTGCTGACTCACTGCTCTGGATCACACTGTAGCTGAGCCAAAAGTATTCCATATTCTTTACAATTCACTCACATATTCATTTATTTAGAGAGTCTCATGTATCTACAGCATGATGTTTTCAATTCTCCAAAGACCAGATTTGAAATGAATTTTCACTTTCCTCCCATAAATTAAAAAAAATAAAAAAATAAAAAAATTGAATGGAGATATTTAAATACCTAACTAATCCATGTAGAAACTGAATTTCCTGAAGAAAGTCAAAATTTTGAATTTAGCTTTGAACACTTTTGTTCCAGTTTTTAAGGAAAAACATCACTTAGTTACAAAATTTCAACCATAATATTTTCCTGGAAAAGTTCAGGTTCTCCCAGTATGGTGGTACAACTGATGACTGGGTTAGAAGAATCTAATGAAGTTTTACAAGGCCAAGTGCAAAGTGTTGCTCTCGGTTTGAGGCAATCCAAGATAAGAGTACAGACTGGGAGAAGAACTCATTGACAGCAGCCCCTCTGAGAACTTAGGAGTCCTGATGGATGAAAGCTGGACATGAGCCAGCTTCCAGATACTGGAAGGCCAACAGTGTCCTAGGCTCCATCACAAGAAGGATGGCCAGCAGGGTGAGGGAGGTGATTGCCCCCCTGTACTCAGTCCTTGTGAAGCCCCATCTGGAGTACTGCGTCCAGTTCTGGAGCCCCGGTATAGAAATGATGTGGAGCTGCTGGAGAGGGTCCAGAAGAGGGCCACAGAAATGATAAAAGGCCAGGAGCACCACCTCTCCTATGAAGATAAGTTGAGGGCTTGTTACGCTTGGAGAAGAGAAAGCTCTGGGGAAACCACACTGTAGCCTTTCAGTACCTGAAAGGAGCTTACCAGCAGGAAAATACTGACATTTAACATGGTCAGACAGAAAAAAGACAAGAGGGAATGGCTTTAAACTAAAAGAGGAGAGATTAATTTTAAATGTTAAGAATATTTTCTTTTAACTCAAAGAGTGGTGAGGCAATGGAAGAGGCTGCCCAGAGGGGTTGTGGTCACCCCATCTCTGGAGGTATTCAAGGCTATTTTGGATAGGACCCAGGCAGCCTGATCTAGTAGTTAGCAACCTTGCCCATAGTAGGGAGGATTGGAAACATGCAATCTTTTAGGTCCCCCTCCAATCTTAGCCATTCTATGATTAGGCCAGGCCCCATACCATTTTGAAGACCATGCAGTTCAGCAATCTTGACTGGACTGTCCTACCACATCCAGCATTTAGCACCTTATGGCTTAGCCACTGAAAGATCAACTGCAGGGGCAATATTTTACTAGCAACAAGAGCACAGTAGTAGCTGTGACAGTAGAATCACTTCTACTGGTGCAGACTTTCTTTTACAAGCACAGTATGCAAACTCTCGTTCATTACTGTTGAAAATACATAAAATATATAAAATACATAATGGCAGTGACTATATTGCAAAATAGTATTTTGTAACTGACAATGTGCTCTATCAAATAGCATTATTGTGCTCTTTGCATTTGTTGTACTTCCATGAAAAAAGAAAAGATGCATTACTTTCAGAGCAACCTACATACATGAGAGAAGAATCTCTGCATGCCAAAGAGGTCTTATTGTCCAAACTGGAGTTTCTTGAAAAACAGACACAACATACTTACAATTGCATACATGCAGCTCTTTCTGATGTAAAAGTACTTCACCAAGAAAGAGAAGGACATTCACTTACAGAAATTGGTTTTTCCAACACGTGATTCTTTAAGTATCACCTTGCTGAGCTGCACGTACCTCAAAACCACGATCCTTAAGTGTCAAACAAGTCTGCAACTTGAAAGTATTTGTAGGTGAATGAAAAAAATCTAGTGCAGTTTGAAATCTTTTTTGGGTTGCAGTCACCACTGCTGCAGTGCAAAATAAAGCAAAATAATATTATCTTCCAACCAGAAGAAAGTATCAATTTCTTCCAACTTTAAAGCCAAAACCAAGCAAAACCACCAGAATATGTATAATGTGATGGAAAGCACAGCAACACCAGCAGAACAGCAAGGTCCCAGGCAGCAGCAAGTGAAGGTTTTCTCAACTGCAACAGCTGCGGGCACAGAAATAAAGGAAAGAATCTCCTTACCTTCAGAAGAGCTCAGGTACACATGGATACCCTCACCTCCACTGCCAACTCTTTGCAGGAGGGTTCCTGGCTCCACCCCTTCCAGTCACTCAGGTACATTGCATGCACCTGAGCTGCCCTGGGTTGGCCCTGCCTTCACACCAGGTGCTCAATCACTGCTTCAAGTTGTGACATTTCTGCTACAATATACAAGACAAATTCTTTTGAAAAACACCTGTCGTATATCACAGGAAAAGGGGAATTCCTGTATTCTGATTCAAGCTGCAGCACTCAAATACTGTGTAAATAAATTGATGATTCTCGATACTGCAAATGACAACACGCTGGACTGCTAGTGGAAAGTGTTTGGGATTTCAAGGGGCCTATTTGCATAGGCTTAATGAATGCTACATAGAAACAAACATCCTGGAGGCCAGCAGCAGCACTCATTCCAAATGAGCACAGTCACAGCTAGAGCTGCAAGCCAGGACTGCCTTCCCAAACTTAATGCTTTGAACAGATGTGAGAACTGGTCTCAATGGAGTACAGTGTCAAGTTGCTCTTCCCAGGAGACAGTAAGGAAAAGAGGGAGAGGAAGAAAGAAAGGAAGTCACATCAGAAAGCAACTTAAAAAAAAACACCTGTTTTATCTGTGCTCTGAAATACATATTCCTCTGCTGAAGTACTTCAGTGGACCACACAAGATGTTAAGGTAGCAAAAGAGACAGGATGTTCACGAGCTTACAGGTTGAATATATTGGCTAGCCTGCTCTTACGCTCCAAAAATCTTTCCGTTATCTGGTTTCCATGTAAGTGAATATACAGTCTTGCAAAACAACAACAGTGTCAGAACAGCACAGCTTTGCCTAGGATTCCTTCTGAGACTGAAGAGCACTCCTCAATTAGTGATGGAGAGGACAAAGATGAGTGGTGAAACTCCTTTGTGTGGGACAAGGGAACAAGTCCTGCTACAATGCAAGTATCAGCCTTTATGAGGACAAATTCCCGTCAGTGCAGTCATGGGGATAATCAGAAGCTGAGTCCCTCTTCGATCTTGTGCACCACAAGTAACGATTCAGTTCATTACGGCCATTGCAGACAGCTTCCCAACACATGTGCATGAGTGCACACAGACTATAGTTCTGCACTGATCAGAAACACAGGAAGCAGGTTTCCAAAAGCGAGAGAAAAAAATTGGGAAAATAACGAAGAACAAATATGTGAGCTCCAATGTTTCCCAATAGGGTCCAATAGGTAAATAAGAACTAGGACAACAAGGACAGTCTTCACATAAATCCTGAAATGATGCATAAACAAGTGGAAAACAGGGAATTCAAACCATGAAGATGGATTAGATCACTTGGATCCAGAAAGCTTGCTTTTCAACTCTCTAATTCACTTTTAAATTGTCCTACTTTTAAGTACATTAAGATCAATTGTTTGAACAAAGAATTCGTACTGAGCTTTAAAAGTAAGACAGGAGATACCATGTAATGCTTCCATTTTACATTAAAATATATGCACTATTATCTTCTTATTATCTCCTAAAGATTTTTTCCAGGCATTTAATTAACATATGACAAGATACTCAAGTTAGCAAGAAAAAAAGTTACCATTTAGTGCACTATATATAGACTCTCAGAAGTTAGTTTCCCATTGTTTTTTTTTCTTCTAATGCACTACCTTGTGAACAACTATTATGCTATTTTAAAAGCAAGGCTCTGTCACAGAAATAAAAGAAATAAAAGGAATAAAGTTCCCGAGGTACCTACACTTTATTTTTTAATTTCACTCCAGCATAAGTGTCTTTCAAAGACAGTGAAACACAGGAGAAATTTAGAAAAAAAATTACAGATTCTGCTACTGGGAAGCGAGCTAGTATCAGCATGCAATTAAGAGTTCTCAGTGGGAGCTTGACCCTGAATAAATCCATGGGAAGTATTAATTTTAAATGGGTGCAGAACAGTTGCTACCAAATTCATGCAGCCATAGGCACTGCTGATTTGGGGGATATTTGTTGGTTCCGCTTTACTAATATAATTAGGCAGAAAATCCTGCGGCAAGTAGAAAAAGTAGAAAAGATGTGTTTAAGGACAAAAAGATACTGTTTGGAGCAGATGCTCTCCTCAAATATCAGTTTCTTTGTGGGCCCATACCTAGTACTTTCCGTGGTATAAAAATCTTTTTTTTCCCTGAGAAATTGCTTCTCACAGCATTCGCCAGCCACTCAGCTCAGCAGCCACAGAATCACAGACTGGTTAAGGTGAGAAGGAATCTCTGTAGTATGTAAATTCATACTACACATTGGGCTGCAGCTTGATACATCCTCACTAGATAAAGAGGAGGGGAAGGGGGGGCAGCAGCTGCTCCCAACTCCTCACGTACACCCAGCCCCAAGCAATGGGGAACTGGGCCTGGCTTTGCCCAGGGGTCTATCCCCTCCCTCAAGCAGTGCCAGCTGCTCAGGTCTGTGTCCAGTTGGGTTTTGAGTATCTGCAAGGATGGAGATTCCACAACAACTCTGGACAACCTGTGCTGATGTTCAATCCCTGTTAAATTTTAGAAGTATTTTCCTTATGTATAAAAAGTAGATCCCTTGTTTCTGTTTGTGCTCACTGCCTCCTGTCCTGTTGCTGAACATGACAGAGAAGAATCTGGCGCTGTCTTCTTTACTGCTCCCCATTAGTTTTGAATAAACAGTCATCAGAGCCCCCTGAGCCTTCTTTTCTACAGGGTGAACATTTCTAGCTCTCCTAACTTCTTCTATAACAGACATTACAAACCCTTAATCATCTCTGTGGCCTTTCGCTGGCTTCACTCAAACGTGTCCACGTGTCTCTTGTGCACAGGGGCCCAGAACTGAGCAAAACACTCCACATAATTCTCATCAGTACTGAGTGGAAGGATCATCACCCCCAGCCCGGTGGTTACGCTCTCCTTGATGAAGCCCAGCATGATCTTGGTTTTCTTTGCCTCAAGAGCACCTTGCTGATTCATGTGTAGCTCCTTGTTCAACTGAAAACCCAAGTACGCTCTAGCAAAGATGTCTTCTACCCAACTCCTAGCACATTCTGATTATGGAGCTATTTCTCCCCATGCTCAGTACTTTTGCATTTCCTTTGGTTGAACTCCATGAAATTCCTATCAGCCAATGGGAATTTTTGACAAATGTCTCCAGCCAGCCCAAACGGAAACACAACCATCTGGTGCATCAATCACTCATTCCAGTTTTATCACCTGCAAACTTGTTGAAGGTGCAATCTGTCCCATCATCCAGGTCTCTAATGATGTTAAATACCATTGGATCTAGCATCGATCTCGAGCGTACACCAAATGACTGGCCTTCTATTGGACTTCAGACACTGGTCACAATCACTGAAATTCAGCAATGCAATTAGTCCTCACTCCACTTGACTGTCCACTTATATAGTACTTCATCAACTGGCTGATAAGGATATTATAGGAGAATTTCAAAAGCATTGCTAAAAATCAAGATAAACTTATCATTCACTGCTCTCCACACATTCACTAAGCTGGTCATCTCATCACAGAAAGTTATCAGGTAGACAAGTATCATTTTCCATTCATAAATCCATGCTGACTACTCCCAGTCACTCTCGTCTTTAATACACTTGGAAATGACATTCAGAATGATAATAAGTTCCTCAAAAGCTCTTTCCCATTTCATCTCTGCCCAGATTGCTGCCTCACTACTAGGCTGTCTAGGATCTTCCTTGAGGCTGTTAACATCTGCCTCACCAATTCCTTCTTAGAACTAAGAAACGTTCAGTTCTCCTTCCTTTTCACCTAGAAAACAGAAAACTTCTTCCATTGACACCAGTAAAGTTTGCATAAACTCAAAAGTTCTTTGAAAAGCACTCAATAGAAAACATCAGGTTCAGTTCTGCTTGCTTCATCCTGAACATTTAAACATCATCCATTTATATTACTCTACAAACGTTTCTCTGTGTGCCTCTCTCTATATACCACAGGATGGCAGCAAATGTTAGAGAATAAAGAAAAAAAAAAAACAGTGGAGAGAAAAAAACAAATGTATTACAATTGATTTATATATAGTACTGTTACTTAAAACGAATAGTTCCTGAACTGTAATCCAGGTGCTACACAGACATGCATCCTGAGTCACACAAACACACTAAGGCTAGAATCTGTGCCACAGCAGTTCAAACGCATTAAAAATTATGGTTGGAGGGAAACAAATTATACAGGATGCCAACACAACCTGTAAATCTGAAGTTAACAAAATGCTTTGTTTGATCCAAAGGAAATAATATTCATTAAAATTTAAAACAAATTTGTATGGAATGACCATAAATCATAAATCATATAGTCATAAATCATCAAAGGTCTATACTACATATAGACGTTAATATTGAAAAGGTGGCCAAAAAATTAAACCAAAGAAAAGTTAAAATTCAAAATTCATTTCAGTAGAAAAATACTCTTCCTAGTTTGGGTAGATTCAAAATTTACGTAAAACATATAAAGTAAATACGTGGGTTTTTTGGTTGTTTTTGGGGGATTTTTGTTGTTGTTGTTTTTTGCAATGTGCAATAGGCAAATTGAAAGATGCTACTTATTTTAAAAATTAAATGTATCTCTATCTATCTCTATCTTGCATGGAGTTCAGAAATGGTGCCTTACCTTTTTTTTTTTTTTTTTTTTTTTTTTTTTTTTTTTTTTTTTAAGTCCTCTAAATAATAAGGAGCCTGAACAGAAGACATAATAAAATGAAATAAAGTACATAGAAGTACCAAAATACTATAAAGAAAAAAATCAGACAGTAGCTTTTTAACTTTTTATGTGAGCTGCAGTTATGGAAAGTTGGTATTTCAAAATCAATATTCATTATTAAATTAAACACATAAGAAACAATATAAGCATGCAAGCACATTTTTAAGCTGCAGTGGGATAGAGTTTTATGTATTTTTTTGTAGAGCCACCTTTAATTGAAAGTTATCAAGTAGTTTCAAGGGTACCTGTTCATAGAGCTTCCAGAAACGAAAAGCTGTATACAGAAAAGTTGCCACCATTCAAGTTATTCTCTACAAACCTTCAAGCAATTTAAAGATTTTATTATAAACTTAGATGAAATAATGATGTTTTAATTTATGCTGTATCCACTTCTGCTCATAAATTCTTCCAATTTCTTCTACCTCACCTCTTTGCATCTCATTCCAATACCAAATTAATTCAAAGACATGTTAACACAGCTGGTACTTCATCAACATTTTGACTTTGTAGGTTATGTCAATGGTTTGCCAAAAAAGATCAACCAGACCCAGTCAGCTTTGGAGAAATCATGGCTGTCATGACTCTCTGCTTTCAGGACTCCATACAATAAAACTTGGGATGTTTGCCCTGTATTTGCTCGACTTGACTGTCCCTCCTGACTGCTGCTAAGTACCCTCATAGTCCATAACAGGCATAGAGTCAGGGAGGTCACAATTATTCCTAAGGCATCAGGAAGGTCTATGAAAATAGCAAAGATGACCATGCCCTAATCTCAAGCATCGAACAATTCATGAGGCAGAAATCTTGACTGGCCAAAGAAAATATAAGCTAGTATATTCCAGGCTTTCTGAAAAATAATATTTTTTGTATCCAATGTACACAGAAAAAAAATGATCTTTGGATGCTGCTGCTAGTTGCGCTTCTCTGCTATATCTGCTTGTGTTATAGTTGAGCTCTTTTCCCTCAAGAAACATGGGATGACCATTGCACACAGCTGCTCTTCTAATCTGCTGCTAACAAGGAGGCAACTAAAAGCACACAGCTACTACAAGCCAAGTCCATACTTATTTCTTCCCTTCAGGTCATTGTCATCCCTCAGATATGAATAAGGGTCTGGAAAGATAAATGTTTTCTATAGGCTTCTGCAACCTTCTTGATGTAAAAATAGACTGTAACCATGCTTATGTCATGTTGTTGCTCAGCAACCTTTCCCCCCCCCCCTTAATCTCCCTGTTCTCTCATATCTTATTGGTCTTCACAGTGATCAGTCCGCAAACTATGACTCACAAGTCAGAAACAACACTGTCTGCTAAGCTTGCAGGACATTCTGCCCTTCAGTGATTACATAGGCTTAGGGAGATGTACCTGATAGAGTAACCAGAGACATGATGTTGACCTAGGGGAAAAAAAAGCTAGTGAAAACCATGAGAGACAGCAAAAGAAGTGAAAGAAAAATTTGTCCTCTGTACTGAGGATATACCTCTATACTTTTTTCTTCAAAAAAAAAAAAAAAAAAAAGAAAAAGAAAAAAAGAGAAAGATCTCTAATCCATTCCTCTTCAGTCAAGATCAGCAAAGAGGAATCAATCTCAGTCTCTCTCTTTCCCTGATGAGTTCTGGAGAGGGATCTTCCTTAGACAGAAGAATAAGGACAAGTAAAACAGCAAGGACTCTCAGCTCTCATTCTTCCTGAAAAAATTTATTGCTTGAGAGAAGAGGACAGAAAAACAAAAACTTGTAAGCACAGCTTTTGCACACACGGCCATTGTTGCAAATGGACTCAGCAGATGAACATCCAGTGGAGCAGTGACAAACATCAGAAGGCAAAGCCTATATCCAAAGAGCTACTGGAGAGGGACTCAAGTACTTAAACTGAGATGCGTATGGGCACATCAGAAGTCAAATTATTCCATTTTGCTTTCAGCTGCTGCCCTAGAAGAGAGCAGGTTTCCCATTAACCCCTCACACACATCTGCCATCTTCTTGCCCATGTCTCAGATACCATAAAAAAAAAATCTAAAACATGCATGCTAGTGCTTTGGTCCCAGAATCTCTCCTCAAGTGTCTGACTTCTATACAAATATTTCAATCTCCATTGGTTTTAAAGAACACTGGAAAAAAATATGCTTTCAAGAATCCATGTTTAACATTAACTCAGATAACTACATTTAAGTTGTCTGTATATTTAAGGTATTAATAAGACAAAAAGGGAATACACCTAGCACCTGTGTTATTTTGCTATATTTTGACTCCACATTCCTGTGCAATTCTGTTAAGTGTACAGCAAATAAAGCTGTCCTCATCTATTGGTGCTCTCTGTTTGACAAGGTAACTCAGAACCAAAGAAACACGTACTTGAAATAACCTCTGAGTGTTAGGCTAAA